GTTGGGGGCGACCGGGATGGCAGGGGAGGGCAGTTGGGGGCAACCGGCCCAGCAGGGAGGGCAGTGGGGGGCGACCAGGCCATCAGGGGAGCAGTTAGGCGTCCATCAGGCTGGCAGGGGAATGGTTAGGGGGTGATCAGGCTGGCAGGCAGAAGTGGTTTGGGGCAATCAGGCAGGAAGGCAGGAGAGCAGTTGGGAGCCAGCAGTCCTAGATTGTGAGAGGGTACAGGCTGGGCTGAGGGACAACCCCTCCCAGTATACAAATTTCATGCACTGGGCCTCTACTAGTTCAAATAATATTTAAATATCAGATTATTAAGAGTAACTCAACTATTTAGAAGATGAAGACTATAGATGTCATATTTCTATTCATCTATATAATGCCAAAATCAGCTTAGAAAAATATATTATTTGATTCCATAAAGAAGAGATGTATTGTAGGCCATCAATAACATTTTGTTAGAAAAATTAGAGTAATTCACTAAAACTTTTTCATGTTAAGCAATTTGAATATCAGGAAAATGAAGCTAATGTTAATGTAAAGTTCTTTCTTAAATGAATTCCTGGTAAATTTGTTTGTTATCAACAACTATTTGGGCAATCTCACCCAATTTTTATATTTTCCTAACCTTACCTGTCATGTGATCAACTTTTCTTTCTCTTCTAAACATCCTTGAAAATATGAGATGAACTTATCTCATGTCAGCAGGAAATTCTTAAGCCAGTCCATTAATGATAATTCGATGATTCTCTTAAATACCCAGCTCTAGTCTGTCTCCTGTGAATTACAAAGAAGTATAAAACATTTCCCTTTAATAAATAGAGTAATAAGTTGGATAGCTAAAGCATGATATAAATTTGGGAACAGTGAAAAATAATTCAGGATATAAATAATAGTTTGATATAAAGCATTTTTATGTGTTCCAAGTCTTCTCATTTATTTCTTCCAGGTGTATCTCATAGTCGCCCCCCTTTTTTCCCTTACTCCACCACTCTGAGTCCTCATGCTCCTATGGCAGCATTGTTACTATATCTTCTTGGCTGACTTTGTTTTTCTCCAGCCCATTTTGTATATCAAGCCAATCATCTTTATATAGCACTTCCCTTGACTCTTTTTTCCTTTTATTTCAAGAATCTACAATGTCTTCTAGTTTATTACATCATGTTCAAATTCGTCTGCATGTTTCTCTTGATATTCCAGAATTGAGCTCCATTTTATCTATCTAGTTTCAGTTCAAGTTATTCCACATGATGAACAACTTGTTCTTTACTCCACTCCACCCTAATTCTTTTTTTTAAATATATTTTATTGATTTTTTACAGAGAGGAAGGGAGAGAGATAGAGAGTTAGAAACATCGATGAGAGAGAAACATCGATCAGCTGCCTCCTGCACATCTCCTACTGGGGATGTGCCCGCAACCCAGGTACATGCCCTTGACCGGAATCGAACCTGGGACCTTTCAGTCCGCAGGCCAACGCTCTATCCACTGAGCCAAACCAGTTTCGGCTCCACCCAAATTCTTATCACTAGATCCTTCTCCTCTAGTCACACTGTACTTGATAAGTTCTAATTCTGTTTCTCAATTTGTGTTAATAATCTTTCCTCTATTTCTTCTTCCTTACTATGCCTTTGAAAGTTTGTATACTCCTTAAGGTCTATATGGAGACCATTTCCTTCATAAAAGTTTTCCCATTATTGATCTCTCTTTCCCCGATTCCTTTACCACATATAGTCTTATAGCTCAAATGCTACAATTTTTGTTACATTGTATTCTTTATTTCATTATCTCATTATTTTAATGTGTTAATTCTGTGTTCATAGTCCTAGATTGCATATCTACTTCCTTCTCCTTTAGCACTTATTACAGGATTTGGTGGGCAAATATGTTCAATTAGTGTTTTTGATCAGTTATTCTAATGAAGGTGCTAATGATTTTTATATTGTTTTTGGTGGTTGGGGTGGGGATTGTGGGATGATTCAGAGGCATAGAAGGTTCCATCTGCCAGACCATTAGGTTATATTTCATTAAGAATGTGTAGCACCACAAAGGTATAGAGATTAAATGTTTATCTGATAATACTTCTATTTATTTGTTTGTTTTTAATTATTTATTTTAATATTTATTGTTGAGAGTATTACAGATCTCCCTCTTTTTCCCCCCTTATTGCCCCCCTTCACCCAGTTTCTGCCCCACCCTATGCCTTTGACACCCTATTGTCTGTGTCCATAGGTAATGCATACATGCATATAAAATCTTTGTTTAATCTCTTTCCACTCCCCCACTCCCCTCTCCTCTGAGAATTGTCAGTCTGTTCCATTTTCATTTCTCTGATTCTATTTTATTTACCAGTTTATTTTGTTCATTAAATTTCTTATTTGTTTATTTTGATTTTAGATTCAATTATTGATAGATAATGTATTCATTCATTTTTATTGTTCATATTTCTTATATTTTTCTCTTCTTTTCCCTCTCCTTAAAGAATACCCTCCAGCAATTCATGTAATACTGGTTTGGTGGTGATGAACTCCTTTAGTTTTTCTTGTCTGTGAAGCTCTTTATCTGACATTCAATTCTAAATGATAGCTTTGCTTGGTAGAGTAATCCTACTTATAGGTCCTTGCTATTCATCCTTTTGAATATTTCTTGCCACTTCCTTCTGACCTGCAAAGTTTCTGTTGAGAAGTCAGCTGACAGTTGTATGGGCCCTCCCTTGTAGATAACTAAGAGCTTTTCTCTTGCTGCTTTTAAGATTCTCTCTTTGTCTTTAGCCCTTGGCATTTTAATTATGATGTGTCTTGGTGTGGTCTTCTTTGGGTTCCTCTTGTTTGGGACTCTCTGTGCTTCCTGGACTTGTAAATGTATTTCTTTCAGCAGGTAGGGGAAGTTTTCTGTCATTATTTCTTCAAATAGGTTTTAAATATCTTGCTCTCTCTCTTCTTCTGGCACCCCCATAATGCAAATGTCGGTACACTTGAAGTTGTTCCAGAAGCTCTTTACACTATCTTCATATTTTTGGATTCCATTTTCTTTGTGCTCTTCTGATTGGGTGTTATTTTTGTTTCCTCATATTTCAAATAATTGATTTGTTTATAGGAATCCTCTACTCTACTATTGAATCCCTGTATATTAGTCTTTACTTCAGTCGGTATGTGCTTAATTTCTGACTGTACTTTTCCATTTTTATTATTTTTTTTCAATGTCACTAAAATCCTTAAAGTCTCACTAAGTTCCTTGGAGGTCTCAAGAAGATTCTTGAAAAACCTTATAACCATAGTTTTGAACTTTATATTCAGTAGTTTTCTTTATTCCATTTCTTTCATTTGTAACATGTTTCTTTGTCTTCACATTCTGGCTGCTTCCATGTGTTTGTTTCTTTGTATTGGGTAGAGCTGCTATGTCTCCTTGACTTGGTAGAGTAGCCTTGTGTAGTAGGTGTTCTATAGGGCCCAGTAGCTTAGCCTCCCCAGGCACCTGAGTGGGGCACTCTAGGAGTGCCTATTTGTGGGCTGCAAGCACATCTTGTTGTAGTTGAGTCTTGATTGCTGTTGGCATCACTGGGAGGAATTGAACTCCAGGCCAATTTGCTGTGAGGACCAGCTGAGACTACAGTGGGAGATCTGCTATGCAGGAGACACCTTATGGAGCGGGACTTGCTTCAGTGTGGCTTTGTTGCTCACTGAGTCTTTCCCTTGAGTGTGTTGCTTATGGATGTGTAGAGTTGTAATCTGGTATGATCTGATGCTGACCACTGGGTTCACTGGCTCTTAGGTACACACTGCCTGGGGCCACCAGGCAGGAGCTACAAAGAGATCTTCAGATTCCTCCTCTTTGTATCGGGTTTGGGAGGGCCCAGGCAAGGCCCAGCTGTGAAGCAAGGTAGGCTGGTGCTATTTCTGGGTCTTGGGCCTTTCATTGATAGGTTTGGGGCACCCTGACCCAGCTGCTGCTTGTTTGAGAGATTTTATCAAAGTCTGATGCCTGAGCCAGGACAGGCCATTCATATGGAAAAGCTGCTGTAAACAGTTTGGGTGACGCTGCAAATTGGATAGGGCATGGTCTCAGGGAATCACCAGAGCAGAACAAACAGTGTGCTTCAGGTTTATGTGGATTCAGGTATGGTTTCCAGTCAGCCCTGGGACAGGGGAGGTCTCATCATAGAAACAGTGACCACTGTGAGCACCTTCATCTGGTATATATCTGGGTCCTCCAGAGCAGCCACCAGGCACTGAGTGCTGGAGCTCAGAGGAAGTGAGTCTGAGAAAGTTCACGCAAGGCCCTTTAAAAGGAACAGCTGGGTCATCAGCAGTCTCCGTGTCACTGCCCAATCCCCACTGGTTTTTACAGCCTGTACTCACAGCAACTTCTCTTCCCAGTTCTGGGAGCCTGGGCTGGGGGTCTGGTGTGGGGCTGGGACCCCTTTTGCCTCACAGTGGGCCTCTGCAGAGACAATCTCCCTCCCAATTAAATAAGCGGTACATGTGGGTGCTGGTCCAGCCCATTCCACACCTTCCCCCATCCTACCAATCATAATGTGCTCTCTTATTTATTTCTCTAATTATAGGACTTCCATTTAGCCAGCTGTCAGGTGGTTCTGGATGATGGTCATTCTGTATTTTAGTTGTAATTTTGATGTGGTTGTGGGAGGCAGCAAGTACCAGCATTTATCTACACTGCCATCTTGGTTCTCCCCTGATAATACTTTTAAAATCTACATTTTCTTAAATTCACAAGCTTATAAAACCACTCAACATATTCTATCCGTTTGATCATGTTGGAAAGTGTAGCTGATGAAATGGCCTATTTACAGTGATCAATGGTGCTCTAAATATTCTGGGAAACGGATATTGTATGGATAGAGTAATAACTCAAGTAAGAATACTATCTAATAAATGTTTATACACCATAAAGTCTACAAACATTGAATATAATAAATTATATAATTTTTCTATCCTGTAATTTATCTCAAAATTTTTACCTTCTTTTATTTTCTCTCCTAGCTTTACTCACAGACAAGCCACCGAAGCCATTATTCCCTATGGAGAATCAGCCAAGTGTTATAGATGTACAGCTGGGTAAGTCCCATTTTGGGAATAATAGATCCTAAACTTGCTCTCTGTTAACAGATGGGGAAAATTTCATGAACCAAGAAAGGTTTATTGCCACTGTTACTACATGCAAATCAATTTATGTCTACTCATTTATAACCCTGGAGTTCAGTGCAATAGCAGTTTAAGGAAATGTGTTTGTATTGCATCAAGAAATGGTAATACTAATTGGTTACACTGGGTATTAAGTGTGCTGTAGAGCAGAGCTTTTTAACTCTATGATTGATATATTCATCGGTGTTGTACATTAGTGATTGGTACAGAAAACTTTTAATGGTTGTAAGCATTTTTTTAATTAAAAATCATTAACCTTTGTGGAATAATCACTTTCAAAAAAAGAAGCCTCAAATAGCCTTGAAAATATTTTGATAATATTATTGCCAATGGCAGACTATATGGTTATTTAAAACTTGTTTTAGGGTGAAATCTTGAATATTTATGAATCATATGGTGTTGGGAAAAGGAAAAAGTTGATTGATAGGTGTTGCTGTCTTTTTATGGTCTCAAATAAGGATGCAAGGTATTGGGCCCTTTATCGTGTGTCCCCTACAACTAATCCTTGTATTTAAAGAACTTTAAGCTTAAAACTCAGAGTTCTGCCAGTATCTCTTTTAAATCTTCACTTTAACCTTTGTAAGCCTTCATCAATTGAATTCCAAACTATTCTTCAATTCTAAGAATGTCTTCCATTATGAACAAGAGAAATGAATAAATATGCTGGAAATGCATTAGAGTTACTTTTTGCATATACTTTATGGAAATATCTGACTATAGTGGGACCTACCAATTATATAGCCAGATACGATAAATAGACCCAAGTATTTCACTCATTTTTTACTCAACTTTAAAATAATTTAATTTATTGGGGGTGATAATAGTTAATAAAATTATGTAGATTTCAAGTGTGCTATCTTTTACCCTTTGGGACAGCATGGATGGACCTGGAAAATATTATACTAAGTGAAACAAGCCAAACTGAGAGGGACAAATATCACATGATCTCACTTATTTTGGGAATCTAATGAACAAAATGAATTAACCAACAACTTAAGACCTGAAGCATAGAAGCACAGAACAGTCTGACAAACCTTGATGTGGGGGTGGGGAGACCAAAGAACTTATATATCTATATGCATAGCTCATGGGTATGAGCAATAGGGTGGTGAAGACCTGGGTGGTGGGTAGGGGTTTGGAGGAGAGGGGTACAAGGCGGGGGTGTAAATGGTTGACATCTGCAATACTATCATAATAAAGATATACATTAAAGAAAACAGGTTATGAAAAAATTGTTCCTGTTTTTATTTGAGAGGTACATTCAGTTCTCTGTTCTGAATATTTCTAAAGTCAATACAGTAAATGAAAATTTTCAGTGGAAATAAGTATTTGTTAGTGTATGAAGTTGGCATTGATGCAGCTATTTTGTTGTCTATAGAGGAAAATACAAATTTTTACTCTCCATGCTATAGTGTATTCCATTAGGCATCTACAAGGTTCTAGAAATTTACATACTTTTTGCTGAAAAGTGATGACAGTTTGGTTATTGCTAAATTGTGTTCACAGTATAATGCTGAAAGAAGATTAATCTTAACCAAATAACTGTATATTTTGAGATGATAAATAAGTTCTTAACAAAATAATCTTAAAACTATTATTCTCACAGTGCAAGCAAATTTAGCTGCAATGGCCCGTAGTAATGTATAAAATATAAAAACAAACACAATGTTCAGAACACACAAAAATCTAATTTGGTCCTGTTATGTTTGATTTATTTATTTTCTCTTTCTGAAAGTATATTTAGCTTTTATTTTAATAAATAAATATTTACTCCACCAGGACTAATTCTTTTTTGGCAATTGGAAGGAATTTTTGTTTTGTTTTGTTAAACAATTTTTATTTTTAGAGATGTAACCTTTGGAATTTAAAATAAACATCTTATTCTTTAGAAAAATTATTTTACAATACAGGTAGTTTTAAAAATATTTCTCTGTGAAATTATTTTCATTAAAATATTTTAATAATTCTAAAAATGTTTTCTGGAAACATGGGGAAGAATGAAGGAGGAGGTGAATTATTTCAGGGTCTCTGATTAGTGCTTTTTATCCAGTCCAGTAAGGTAAGTAAAGGGTCATAAGATAAATGTTTTAGGAAACTAAGTTAATGAAAATAACATTCAACCTGAAATCACACCATCCAGGAAAAAGAAAGATTCACATAACAGCTTGGAAAAAAAAACACACCAAATATTATACTCATTAGAAGCTACTCTTAGTAGTAGAAACAGTATATGCAACATTAAAAAAAAAAAATTCTTACCATTTATTCAACACCTGTCATTTGCCAGGGACTGTGCTAGGTACTTTAGAGTCATGATTTCTAATTCTAAAAGCCATTCTTAGGTATATAGTTAAAGCTTTTTTTGATACAGAAGAAAAATAATCTCATTAAAGTTTAATGACTCATCTAAAGCATCACAGAGCTCGTAGATATTAGAACTAGGTTTAGAATTCGAGTTTTCTTCCACACAATACGGCACCTACCATAAGGAAAAGAAGCAGCCCCCTAGTACCTGTGTCCATTGGTTATGCTTATATGCATGCATACAAGTCCTTTGGTTGATCTCTTACCCCCCACCCCCCCACCCAGCCTTCACTGGCTTCCCTCTGAGGTTTGACAGTCTTTTTGATGCTTCTCTGTCTCTGGATCTATTTTTGTTCATCAGTTTATGATGTTCATTATATTCCACAAATGAATGAGATCATGTGATATTTATCTTTCTCTGACTGGCTTATTTTGCTTAGCATGATGCTTTCCAGGTCCATCCATGCTGTTGAAAATGGTAAGAGTTCCTTCTTTTTTTACAGCAGGATAGTATTCCATTGTATAGATGTACCACAGTTTTCTAATCCTCTCATCTGCTGATGGCCACTTAGGCTATTTCCAAATCTTAGCTATTGTAAATTATGCTGCTATCAACATAGGGGTGCATATATCCTTTCTGATTGGTGTTTCTGATTTCTTGGGATATATTCCTAGAAGTGGGATTATTGGGTGAAATGGGAGTTCCATTTTTAATTTTTTTAGGAAACCCCATACTGTTTTCCACAGTGGCTGCACTGGTCTGCCAGTAGTGCATGAGGATTCCTTTTTATCCATATTCTCTTCAGCATTTGTTATCTCTTGTCTTTTTTATAATAGTCATCCTAACAAGTGTAAAGTGATATCTCATAGTGCTTTTGCATTTCCCTGATGATTAGTGATGTTGAGTACTTTTTCATGACCCTGTTATCCATTTGTATGCTTTCTTTGGAAAACATGTATATTCAGATTTTTGCCCATTTTTAATTGGGTTATTTTTTGTTGTTATTGAGTCATATGAATTTCTTATATATTTTTGATATTAATCTCTTATTGGATATATGGTTTGTAAATATTTTCTCCCATTCGATAGGGTGCCTTTTTATTTTGTTGATGGATGGTTTTCTTTGCTGTGCAGAAGCTTTTTAGTTTGATGTAGTCCTACTTAATTATTGTTGCTTTTGTTGTCTTTGTTTTTGGTGTCAAATAAAAAAATCATCGACAAGACCCTGTTTTCTTTTAGGAGTTTTATGGAATCAGGTTAAATGTTCTAGTCTTTAATCTAAATAGAGTTGATTTTTGTGTCTAGTGTAAGATGGGGTTCCAGTTTCATTCTTTTACATGTGGCTCTATAGTTTACCCAGTCCCACTTATTGAGGAGGTTATCATTTGCCAATTGTATATCATTGGCTTCCTTGTTGTAAATTAATTAACCATATATGAATGGTTTTATTTTGGGGTTCTCTATGCTGTCCTATTAATCTATGTATCTGTTTTTATGCCAATGCCATAGTAAAGATTTGTTATATTATTGAAAGTAAGGAAGTGTGATGCCTCCTCCTTTGTTCTTTCTCAAGATTGCATTGATTCTTTGGAGTCATTTGTGTACCAATTTTAAAATTGTTTTATTTCTGTAAAAAATGAACATAGAATTTTGTAGTCACTGCATTGAATTTGTAGTATGAATATTTCAACAATATTAAATCTTCCAATCCATGAGCACAAAATACCTTTACATTTATTTTTCTTCTTCAATTTCTTTCATCAGTGTCTTATAGTTTTCAGTGTACAGATCTTTTACCTCCTAGATTAAATTTATTTACAAATATTTTATTGTATTTGATAATACTGTAAATGAAATTGTTTTCTTCATTTCTCTTTCTCATATTTTGTTGTTAGTGCATAGAAACACAGCATATACTTGGGTATTGATTTTGTATTTTTAAATTTTATTAAACTTGTTTATTAGTTCTAACAGTTTTTTTATTGAGTCCTTAGGGTTTTCTACATATAATAACATGCCATTTTCAAATAGAGGTAATTTTGCTTCCTCATTTCCTATATAGATGCCTTTTACTTATTTTTTACTAATTTCTCTGGTTAGTATTTCTAAATACTGTCTTGAATAAAAATGGAAAGAGTAGGCATAATTTTCTTGGTGCTAACCTTAATTGAAAAGCTTTCAACTTTTCACCAATGATTATTATGTTACATGTAACTTTTATTTTGTTGAGGTACATTCGCTCCATACCCACTTTGTTGAGAGATTTTTGTTGTTGTTGTTGTTGTTTCATGTTTGCTCTTTTTATTTTATTATTTTTTATTGTCTAAAGTTTTATATATGTCTTTTTTTTCTACAATTGACCCTCCCCCCCCCCAGCCATTCCTCGAGCAATGCCTCACTGCCTCAGTGTCTGTGTCCATTGGTTATGCTAATATGCATGTATACAAGTCCTTTGGTTGCTCTCTAACACCCGCTCCCCTACCATTTGTCTCTGGATCTATTCTTGTTCATGAAATTATGTTGATCATTATATCCCACATATGAGTGAGATCATGTGGTATTTATCTTTCTCCAACTGACTTATTTCACTTAGCATAATGCTCTCCAA